AAATAAGAACCAAGAGACTCATGTAAAGGTACAAGATCCCAATGATGAATGTAACTGTATTTTATACCTAAAATGTATCAATAAAGTTAATGGGGAAAAAAAAAAGAAAACAAAAAAGTGAAAAAAAAAAGACTGAAAACAAAACAAATAAACCATTCAACTCAAGGAGTTAGAAGGAAAAAAAGCCGACATGGAAGAATGAAAGGATTAATAAATACAAAACATAAACTAGGCCAAGTGTGATGGCACATACCTGCAATTACAGCACGCAGGAGGCTGAGGCAGGAGAATCGCTGTGAGTTCAAGGCCAGCCTGGGCTACACAGCGAGACCCTGTCTCAACCCCCCTAAAAAAAAGAAACAAACAACCCCCCCCCCAAAATGAGGTGGTAGAATTAGCACTCAGGGTTCTCTCAGTAAACTAGAAAAAGTTCATGGAACCCATAGCCCACAGTATGCAGAACTGTGGGGGGTAGAATGGAGATCCCTGGCCCATGGTGAGAAGAGGGATCTGTGGCTGCATACTGGGAATGGGGTTCACGGGGGCTGGCACTGGTGAAAGCAGCACCCTAGGTGGCTCTGACAGGCCGACATCATCAGCCTGTCCCCATGTGTCTCTTGGAGAACACGGGTAGCCGCCTGTTGCTGTACAGCTGCCCCTTGCTCTAGCAAGTAGGAGAGTAACTTCCGAGGTGTAGGAAGGGGAAACAGCGTGCCATCTCCCTCCTCCCTGTCACCCTCCAGGACCCTGCTGGCGACAGACAGCTCCGTGGTCTATTATAACTATTCCATCATTGGAACCTTCACGGTGAAGCTTGAGGTGGTGGCCCAGTGGGAGGAGGCGAAGCCAGACGGCACTATGAAAGGCATTGTGCAGAAGACCGGCGACTTCTCCACCTTGCTGAAGCTTCAGGGTGAGCAGATGCAGGCCGAGTGTCCAAGTCCCCAAGGAGCCCCAGATGCCACCCATTCCAGATTAGAGTGGCCGCAGGCTGGTGCTGGGCTCCCTTCTCATGTCCTGTAGACCTCTTCACGTCACCACTGTGCCCACCACAGAGAGGGTGCTGGAGGCCACACACGTCGTCACCTGGCAGCCCAGTGGCACAGCTGGCATCTGGCCCAGGCCTGCCTGCTTCCAGAGCCCAGGTGACCAGAGGTCTTGCTATCACTGCCTGGTACTTGCAGCTCCTGCCTCCCTACCTCCATTGGCCTGCATCCACCTCTTCAGGGCAAGGGTTGCCCCAGTAGGGTGGGAACTTCAGTTCCTGCACAGGGTGTGGATGGGGTGCCCAAGCCCATCTCTCCTTGGCTTTGGTGGACATGGGACATTTCTTGGTTTTGCCAGTGAGGCAGTGCATTCCCTGTGCATGGGCCACGGCTTGGTGTCAGCAAGCAGGACAGTTGGCCTTTGTCTGCTTCTCTGAGCTGGCTCTGGCACTTGCTGCTGCTGCTGATGGGGGTGGTGCCCCGGACAGACCTGTGACCGTCCCCAGAAGAGGGACAGAGAGACGTCAGGGAAGTGGCCACATAGCCCAGAGCCCTGGAAGCTCTGGGACAACAGTCTTCAGCTGCCAGGCCTAATGGTACCCTTTTTCCTTACAGAATCCCTTCGAGGCATCCAGGTCTTGGGGCCCACCCTAATTCAGACCTTCCAAAAGATGACCGTGACCTTAAACTTCCTGGGGAGGTGAGTGACCCCGAGTGCATGGCAGGGGCCCTGAGGCTCTCCACACTCTGACAGGTGCTCCCGAGCCTGCTGCAGGTGGGTTCATGGAAGGATGTTGCCAGTCTGCCCTGCACAGCTCCAGTCTCAGGTCCCAGACAGGCAGGACATGCCTCTGGGGCTGTCTGCAGTGTGAGTTTCAGAAAGCCTGCAGGGAACCTGGATGTGGTGGCACACAACTCTAACCCCAGTGCTCTGGCAGGCTGAGGCAGGAGGATGGCAAGTTGGAGCCCAGCCTGGGCAACTTAGCGAGACCATGTCTCAAAATAAAAAGTGACGAGGGTTGGGAGTGTAGCTCAGAGTAAAGGCCCTGGGTTCAGTTCCCAGTACTGGGGTTGGAGCTCGGTACCTGGGGAATGGGAGCCATTTGGGTGTGGTAGAGCTGTTCTTTGAGGGGCCGTGAGTCTGTGTTTTCCTGGAGCCCAGAGCAGTGTGAAATGGGAGCAACTGTTCAGCATTCCTTGACTAGAGCTGTGCTTTCCAGCTTCTGAGCCAGCGCTTGCCCTTTGTAACCCGGTAAGAGCCTGCTTATCCTTCGATCCTGCTTAGATACCACCTCTTCCACAAAGCCTTCCCTGACTTCCTCACGTGGCCTGCTCGCTGGTGCCCTGTGCTTGTGTCGCGCACCTTGTGTGCAGAGCAGCGCTGCCTCGCCTCTGCTGAGCCTTCTGTGCACATTTCTGCCTCACTGGGCTGGGATCCCCTTGGGGCCTGGGGCATCTCTTCTGCGCATCGCACTTCCTCCTCGAGAGTGTGTGGCACTTGGAGTCCACTTGGAATTGGTCTGTGCTCCTGCTCCTTGCCGAGCCCTTTCTGAAAACCTGTCTTTGTGCCTGCAGCCCCCCGCTGACTGTGTGCTGGCGGCTCAAGCCTGAGTGCCTCCCGCTGGAGGAAGGGGAGTGCCACCCCACGTCTGTGGCCAGCACGGCTTACAACCTGACCCATACCTTCCGCGACCCTGGGGACTACTGCTTCAGCATCCGGGCTGAGAACGACATCAGCAAGACGCATCAGTACCACAGGATCCAGGTGTGGCCTTCCAGTAAGTGACACCTCAGCTTCTGTGGTAATGTCACACAGGCAACCAAAACCTGTCAGCCCTGCCACCACCCGCAGCAGGCTCCTGAGAGCCAGCCTTACCACGGTCACCAGCACTCAGCCCCGCCAACACTAGCACCCTAAATAGTACTCCTCCCTTTGGCAACAGCCAGTGCCAGTAGTGCTACCACCAAACACCAGCAATACCACCAACCTCATATCACCACCAAACTCCCCCAGTACCATGAGCAACCAGCTCTACCAGCACCACTACCACCAAACAGTGACACCCAGCTCAGCTACCACTGTTACTGCACAGGCAGCTGATAATTCTTCGGCACCATCATCGTCACTAGCAGCAAACCCCAGCACTCCCACCCGATTGCCACTGTCAACTCTCCCCACCCCCTGCCACAGACACTAGCCTGCAGTGTGGATCCCGAGAAAGTCCAGACTCAGACTCTTCAGAAATGGCCTTTCACTTGCCTTCCCTGGTCTCACTTTCCATGCTGCACGAGGGGAAACTGAGGCATGGGACGGCAACAAGACTGGATGTCAACCTGAGCCTGAACCTGGCTTCCAGACTCTGGATCCAGTGCTCTTCGGTGGGAGTAGGGTTCTTCCCAGCACTCGCGTTCATTTCCAACCTGCCAGCTGAGCCTGCCTTCAGGGTTGGGCCTGCAAGTGCACCTGGTGTTGTCACTGTCCCTTCCAGGGTCCACAGTCCCTCTCTGAGCTCCTCAGAAAGTGCTCCACTTCGGGCCCTGGCTGACCTTGTGGACCTTGTCAAGTGGCCTGGGTCCTGCTGCCCCAGCACCCCCTAAATTCAACGGGGAAGACAGTCCAGGCGATCATGGCAATCACACCCCCTTCCCTTTCTTTTGCTCTTTTTCGAGACGGGGTTGCGTTATGCGGTTCAGACTGGCCTTGAACTCACTGTGCAGCCCAGGCTGGCCTTGAACTCGTGGCGATCCTCCTGCCTCAGTCTCCTAAGTGCTGGGATTGCAGGCGTGCGCCACCACGCCTCCTGTTCGCAGGAAGCAGCGCCCTCTCTGGGCGTATGGGGACAATGAGAGGGCGCCCACCCTTCCTGGTCACCCGCATGTGCCAGGCAGAGCCACACCCTCACCTCCATGCCTCTCCATGGCGGCGTAGGGGTTGGCGTCAGCCTCTGACAGCCTGTTCAGAGTCAAGGCTCAGACCCGGGGCTGCCTAACTGCAGACCCTGGGCTTTTCCCATTCACCGTGCTGTTTCCAAGCAGCAGGCTCGGCAGGTGGGCCCAGAGGGCGGGGGCTTGCAGCAGAGGTCACAAGGCTGCCGCACAACCTGGCTTCCCTTCCCCAAACCACATCTCCAAAAGAGGCAGGAGGAAGCAGTGCTCTCTCATGGCTGAGACTCAGGAGTCAGACACCATTGCTCTTATCAGCCGCTTGCAGGCCAGGGGCCGGTCATCGAGTCCAGTCCACACTTCAGGGACAGAGAACCTTGCTGCCCCTCTCAGAGATGACTGTTAAGCAACCCATGGACGTACTTAAAAAACCACCACACGGGTGATTCCAGCGCCGTGGGAGGCTGAGGCACGAGTGTGGCGAGTTCAAGCCCAGTCTGGGGAACTCAGTGACTAAGGAGGTTTTATCTCAAAACATAAAAATAAATACAAATTTAAAAGGGCTCAGTGGAAAGGCCCTATGTTCAACCCCCAGTTCTTGAAAAAAAACTTTTCCCACGCACCCCAGTTTCTTTTTGTCGAGTTCTGGGTTGGGGTTGCCTAAAGAGGAGAGTGAGCGTTGCTGGGGCGGACTGTCCCTGCCCCGCTGTGCCGGCCACCTGAGAAGCAGCATTCGAGCCCCAGCTCCCCAGCCGCGTAACACTTCCTGTCACTCCCAGGACTGCAGCCGGCTGCCTTCGCTTTCCCGTGTGCCACGCTAATCACCGTGACGCTGGCCTTCGTCATGTACATGACCTTGCGGAATGCCACTCGGCAGAAGGACGTGGCGGAGGTGGGTGCTGAGGTTGGGCTGGACAGCTGGGCCCCGCCCAGGAAGGAGCTGAGGGTCCAGGGCCAGACCAGGGCACTGGGAAGGGTCTTGATGTTAGAGCAGGCGCTGGGGTCTAGGGTGGCGTGGCAAAGGTTCATCTGCAGACTGCGTCACATTGCTGAGTCGCAGCGCCCTCTGACCTAACTCCTGTGCTCATCCTTGTGTATATGTGGCGCCAGGCGGGCGTTTCCATGCCTCTGCCTCTAGGCTGCTGAGCGCATAAGGCCACCTGACAGGGGCCTTGGTGGGTGGCAATCCACCCATGGGGTTTTGTTCACCATAGGTGGCTGATTTTGACTTTTCCCCTATGTCTGACAAGAACCCGGAGCCGCCCTCTGGGGTCAGGTGCTGCTGCCAGCTGTGCTGTGGGCCCTTCTTTCGGGAGTCATCATCCGAGTACCTGGAAATTGTCCGAGAGAACCATGGGCTGCTCCCACCCCTCTACAAGTCTGTCAGGACGTACACAGTGTGAGCACCCCTGCCCCACCCTGTATCAGTGTTCACTGATGGCCAGACTGGGAGCTTCGGGCAGGGTGGTGTGTCACTGAGCAGGAGGGGCCATGTGGCCAATTCCCCATGCTGGCCATCCATCTGTACAGTCTGGCTGCTGCCACAAGACCCTCAGCCACCTCCCAAGCCATCTGCCCACCTGTACAGTGCAGCCACTCCTGTGAGCCTCTCTCGGGCACCCCCACCCCATCCTGTGCCAAGCAGGACTCAGACACTTGGTGTGTCGCCTTGGGATTCTCCCAGGGGGTCTGGCTGCCCCTCACCCGTTCCTCTCCCATTGGCACATCTGCCATCCATTAGGGGCTCACACTTCCCTCCCTGGGGAAGCCATGTCTATGCCAGAGCGAGGAAGGAGGTCACAGATGGTCCAGGATGCACAGCGAAAGGCTGTGCAGGCAGCCGGGTGCACCTGCAGAGGGGAGGGTGTGTGCACACACACACACGCACACACGCACCACAGCAATCCACACTTGGCACGAATCATCTCTGCGATTCATTCTGTATCTGTCAGGGCTATTGCTGGAACCCCGAGCCCCTCGGCCCTCCATCTCCTGGGCTGGGCCTCCCTTTAGGCTTCGCCCCTGGCTCACCCCATCCCCCTTCCGCAGCCACCCTACTCTCTGCCTGCAAAGTGTGTGCAGAGTGCCTTATAAACTCGGCACCTTTTATCGAAACTCATGTGTACCATCTCCATCGAGGAGAAGGTGTTGCAGCGGAAGGACAGGTTGAGGTCAGGACGTGGGTTCTGCCTGTGTGTCTCCGTCATGGGTGCTTTGGCTCCCCGGCTGCCCCCAAGGTCACCTTGGGAAGGAAGAGGCAGCGGATCAGAGGTAGTGTGGTGGAGCCAGTCCCTCTTTCCCTCCAGCCCAGTGGCTGGGGGTGGGGGACGGCGGGTGGAACTGGGAGCAGCAAGGAGACGAGGCGGTTCGGGCTGGACCACAGGGGCAGGGCTCTGTCACTGCAACTGCTTGCTCTCAGACTTTGCGCTCAAAATTGTGCTTCCATTGTCACATGGCTCATTCCCATGAAATACCGCCATTACTGCTCAATAAAACGTGAGTGCTGAGTGCTGCCAGGCACCCCAGGTGTGGCACAGTCTCTTTTCCATGTGTGACAGATGAGGCTTGGAAATGACAGAGTGATGCCCAGAGGTGGCAGGGCAGCCCTGGCGTGTTCTGTGGTCGGAGGTGACCTCAGGCCCCAGATGACTTAGACATGCAGCCCGGTCTAAGGTCCCGGGTGGATGCTGGAGTCCAAGTGGGAGCCTGGCCACTCTGGGAACCTGCTGGAAATGCAGACCTTTGGGCTCCACCCAACACCCGAGTCACCCCTGGGAGGGGTGGCCACCTGCTCTCACCAGCCCCAGACCCAGGGACTTCAGTGCATGCTCAGGTCTGAGGACCTCTGGGCTCTGGCAGGCAGGGCATCACCAGCTAGACTTTGTTTAGCAATAGTTGCACTTAAGAGGGGCCGGGGATTTAGCTCAGTGGTTCCGCTGCCTGCCTCAATAAGCAAAAGGTCCGGAGTTCGATCCCCAGTACCAAAAAAAAGAGAAACTGAGGACTCTGGAGCAAGGCCTGGGAGTCTGCATTTCTGACCAGTCGCTGGGCACTGAGTCTGAGGTCTAGGCCCTTCTTGAGGCTTTGGCTTTCTGTACGATGTGTGGGACTTTCAGTGGCCTCTTCTCTCCAATTACCCACCCTGCAGAAGTGCCCCAAGCTTCAGAGTAGGGGGTCCCTGAGAATGGGGGGCTGCCCCTCACCCCACTTTCAGTACCACTGTGAGCCAGCTGGGACTTTTTCTACTCCAGCAACATTGGGTTGTAAGGCAGATGCTGCTGCAGCACCCTGCCTCCGAGCTCACCTGTGTTAGAGGGTGCGACAGGAAGAGCTGGGGCTTTGCGGGGCCCTTGTGCCTTGGACAACTGGAGAGGGACTGAAGGACATTGGGGGGTAGGGCGTTCTTGCCTTGAGTTATTTTAGTATTCTTTTTTTTTGGTACTGGGGATCAAACTCAGGTCCTTGTGCTTGCGAGTCAGGCAGCGGAACCACTGAGCTAAATCCCCGGCCCTATTTTACTATTCTAATAAGCAAGGGCCAGGTGACATTTCAGATGCTCCCTGCTGAAATAAGACAGGTCCCCAGTGCTCCTGCACGTCTTCAAGAATACAAGGGAAGAAAATGCAGATCCTGCCTGGAGGAATTTAGTAATGATTGTTCACACTGCAGAAGAAGCCACATCTTTTCACAAAGCAGGTGTATATCATTTTGCTAAAAAGCAAAACAGATCAGGCCTGGTGGTGCATGCCTATGATCCCAGCACCTCAACTTCATCATCTGTGAAGACTCTGTTTCCAGGTAAGGTCATTTTTCACAGGGTCAGCACATAGTAGATGCTCAGTAAATAGATTTTGAATGAATCCTTACCTGCAGATAAGGCACAGAGAGGTGCATTTTTTGCCCAAAGAAATATCAGGAGTTAGCCAGATATGGTGGTACCACCTGAAATCCCAGCACTCTGGGAGGCTGAGGCAGGAGGATTGCAAGTTCAAGACACATGAACCTTTTGAAGGACACTTTAGATAGAAACTATCTCAATTCTGTATTAGCTCTTGCCCCACATACACCCCAGCTCTGGCTGACAAGAGGGGCTGGGGCAGCAGTGCCACCACGCTACAGTCCCAGGAAGGAGGGACCTGATTTACTGCTGATAAATGTGGTTCCCCAGCGGTTAGGCAGAACTCTTGAAGACATTGGTGTAGGCAAAGATTTTATGAACAAAACCTCAGTTGCCCATGAACTAGCACAAACAATCAACAAGTGGGATCTCATTG